TCCCAAATCATATTTAACCATCTGCTCTCCATTACATTCGCTTCTCCTCCAGAACAAGGCTCTGGAGTTGGAAAGCTCCCAGCTAGAGAAAGACAAGAAGCTCCTGGAAAAGGAGAACAAGCGACTGAGGCAGCAGGCTGAGATCCGCGACTCAAAGCTGGATGATAGCAACCAGCGCATCGCTACCCTGGAGAAGGAAAATCGGACAATGGGCAAGGAGATGATCTTTTTCAGGGACTCCTGTACGAGAGTCAAGGACCTGGAAAGGGAGAAAAAGGAGCTGGTCAAACTGGCCACGATCGATAAGAAGACCCTTGTCACGCTCAGAGAGGTAAAAATAGCTGTTGGATTATCAGACATCTGCAAATATTATCTCAAAACATATTAAACCTCTTGATTTATATATTGTAGAGGCCTTTCATTGTGTGTTGAAACAAATATTGATAAAATTAAGAATTTGTGATTAAAAATGTGTTTTTATATCCCTTTTAATAAACCTTGCAACCAATTTGATTGGGTTATTTTTAATAATATGTCTGTTGCTAATATGGAATTCAAAAGCATGTAATTGTGTGTTTAGGAGCTTGTGAGTGAGAAACTGCGGACTCAGCAGATGACCAATGATCTTGAGAAACTGACCCATGAGTTGGAAAAGATTGGACTGAACAAAGAGAGGCTCCTGCATGACGAGAGCTCAGACGACAGGTGAATATTATATCTGCACACAAAAGCTAAACCATCCTCAGATTCAGCTCATATGAGAAGCCTGTCAGCTTGCTTGGAATCAGAATTATTACAAAGCACAATCACTAAAGTTGAGGCTTAAAATGAATCAAGTCTGGTGAGGTGTAAATGACATGCTTTGATTTTAAACAGCGTTTCTTTGACAAACTCACTTTGCAAAAACAAACACTCGTCTGGCCTGACCTGAACCTTTATCGTCAGGTTTAAGCTCCTGGAAACTAAACTGGAGTCGACCCTGAAATCAACTCTGGAGATCAAAGAGGAGAAAATTGCTGCACTTGAGGCAAGACTGCAGGAGTCCTCCAACCTTAACCAGCAGCTTCGCCAGGAGCTGAAAACGGTTTGTAACACAACAAATGAATTTTT